CCTCCTCAGAGTTTATTTATGTGTTCCTATGTTTCCTTTACAGCCTTACTGAAACAGCTCAAAAATACTGAAGAGTTTACCTACATACGTTTCTGTTTCCCAGAAAAACAGAATCATTAAATGGTTATACAACATTTTGGGATGTTTTAAACAGAAAAACATCTGTTTTTTTTATGTTAAACTTACATTTTGGGGATGTTTGACTGAGAATAATATAATTTTTTATGGAAAAGATCATTTTTGGAATGTTTAACTAATGAACACATCATTTTGTGATGGAAAACTTTTTTTTTAGGATGGTTTACACAGAAAATATTTTTTAATGGGATGTTATATGTTATATATAACCAACACAAATGCTCTTACAAAGTGGCAAACCTTTATAAAAAAGACAAAAATTCTCTGAAATATAAATTTCTTTGTTAAATCCTGACTCATTTTCTAACCAAATTGCTTACCAACAAGCGTTGTCTCATTAAGTCCTGATTTTTTGTGCTTTTTCACAGCATTTAAAGTGACAAACATATTTCAGTGCTATAAAAGCTGCTCAAATTGTATTAATGAAATATCATTGAAATGGTTCCCCTTTGACATAAGTAGCAGATTGATTATCTAACGTGTGAAAAATGACAAATACCTCCTTTTGGACCCCCTGCAGACTCAACAAAGGAGAATCCGTACGAGGACGTGGAGCTGGAGAGCCAGAGCTCTCAGCAGTCCTTACCCTCCTCTCCCGGAGCCGATAATCCCAAGGTGCATGAAGTACCCACGAGGCCGCTGTTCCAGATGTTAAGGCCAGATCCAGATGTCAAGGCCAGTTCCAGATGTTAAGGCCAGATCCAGATGTTAAGGCCAGTTCCGGATGTTAAGGCCAGTTCCGGATGTTAAGGCCAGATCCAGATGTTAAGGCCAGATCCAGATGTTAAGGCCAGTTCCGGATGTTAAGGCCAGATCCAGATGTCAAGGCCAGATCCAGACGTTAAGGCCAGTTCCAGATGTTAAGGCGAGATCCAGATGTTAAGGCGAGATCCAGATGTTAAGGCCAGATCCAGATGTTAAG